CCTACTTCAGCCTGCTGTCACCGAGGCCGGAGGCCCGGGGTGGGAGAACAGGGAGCCGGGAGACTGCTTTCCCAGGGGTGAATGGACTCTGCAGTGTGGCACTTGGTGTTATCAGTCAGGGCTCCCTGCAGGGCCAAGTCTAAGGCACAATTGGTTTTGGAGTCCAGGGTCAAGGAGCCACATGGTTTTCCTAGCTCTAGGCAGCTCCCAACCGAACCCATTTCTGCTGATATTCAGGGTGGGCGATGATGGAGAAGGCCCCACTTCTGCTGGCTCAGTGGCGAGGTAGGCCTGCAGTCTAGGCTGAGTTCAGTTTCAGTGAAACTGGAGAAAATGGGGCAAAGACTTGGGAACCGACTGAAAGCCCAAGTGGCTGCCGCTCAGTCCTCCATTCCTCCCCCAAGGAGGTGACACCCACACGCTCAGAAGTGAGCAGAACTGGAAGACTGGACAATGGCCACACAGGCCCTGAGCGCACACTCTGTGCCGAATACCCCATATGCACCATCACACTGCACCCCCTCCCCCCACAGCCCCTGTTAACAGACCAGGAAACCAATGCTCAACAGGCATCTGGGCTTGCCTGGATGACTCAGCTAATCAGTATGGAGCCTAGAGCCCAGCCCACATCTGTCTGTGCCCAGAACCAGGTTAGTTCTACAATGCCAGGCTGCCTACAGAGGAGGAAACTGAGGCCTGGGGAGGATGTTCGGGAGAGCTAGCAAGGAGGAAGGTACCAGCACCTCGTGCCAAGAGAGCATCTGGGGACATTGAGGGGCGCCAGCAAAACCTGCGGCTGCTAGGCTGCCCCTGCCTTCAACTCCCCTGTACCCCAATACACACCCTCCTGACAGCCCAAGCAATGCAGCTCTGTTGCTACAGGCCCCAAGGCCCCAAAGGGGTGGGGTATGGCTTGGTCCTCAAAGGAAGCAATGCCCCACCTATGCCCTGGAGGCCACCTGTAGTTTCTCAAGGAGTGGGGGCCCCCAGGGGATGGGACACAGACAGGCTTTAACTTGGCCTCAATCCAGGGGGCAGCTCAGTCACACAAGCCTGTTTACAAACCTGCCCCCAGCTCCAGGGACTCTGGCCTGCAAGGCCTTATCTCAGCTCTCGAGATCAAAGAGGACTTTCAGCTGCATTTTTTTCTGAGCAAGGTGCTTAGGTTCTCGTGCTAGCAGGGTTTCCTGCTCTAAAACACACCCCTCTTTGGGTCCTGGGGTCCCTCAGAGGTCTGGATTCTGGGTGACGAACTCCCGGATTGCTCAGGGATGCATCCTGACTCCCAGCCACAAGTCTGGAGTCAGACCCTGCGGCTCTGGTGGGCCTAATTCCTGGCTTCTTGATCCCGGAGGAAAGCCGGTTCTCCGGCAGCTGCCGAGGTGCTGCCCTACCTCAGGTGGGCTAAGACTCACTCACCTGCAGGCTTCCTTCAGAGAAGGTCCTGCCCAGCCCCCCGGAGCCAGCCAAGGGGCAGCTGAACTGGGTCCTCTTCTCTGTTTCTTCCCTCCCCCTGCCCTTAAAAGCCACATGCATGTGGGGGTGTCCAGTTCTGCCACCACTTTTCCATCACGCCGTTAGGCCTGAGCCTGCTCAGAACTGGGGCAGAAGTGCGCTCTTCCACAGCAGTTAGAACACTCTGCTCCATTTTGCCCAGAGAGGTGAAGAGAATACCCAGGTCTCATCTCAGGAGCAAGGCCCAGGGTAGGCAGGGTTTAGGGGGATTGTGCAAGGCTTCTCTGAGGAAGCTGACTTTATGGAACAAGGCACTCGTGTGGCCAGAATTGGCATGTAGAAATCTGGGTTGGATAGGAAGAGAGTCATTAGGCCAGAATAGTTATTGTTACCTAAAAGTAAGAACAAAGGAAGAAGCCCTGTCCACTTGGCCACACTGGGCAAAGGTAGTCAGGGGTGGGGGTGCTGACCCTGCCTATGGAAGATGGCTGCCTCTGCTGGGGACCCAGGGCTCTCCCACAGGTGCTCCTGCTGGGCTTGTTGAGGTGGACAGAGGAGCTGGCTGTTGGGATGTTGAGCCAGCTCGGATGAGGGCTGGAGCCTGGCATAGCCACATAGGAGTGGGGGCTGGGGGTGAGGGATAGCAGGGAGGGGGCCTGATGGGTGTCCAACTTTCCAACCTTGGAATAGCTTGGTGACTGGTCACTATCAGTCTTCCATCATAAAGTAGCCAGTGGCCAGAGCTTTGAGCCCAGGAGACCATCTACCCCAGGGACTGAGGAGGCCCTCCTCAGGACATTCAGGAATACCCCATTTTTGACCTCTGGCTGAAAAAATGGCCAAGAATATGTGCAATTTGGGCCCCCTAGGCTTTCCCTTACCTGACTTCTAAGGGCCTTCACAGGCAAAGCCTCACCGTCCAGTGCCTGTCCCTTCCTGCCTGCCACTCTCCACGTGCTGTGTGGGGGATCCAGCTTTCTATTTTCATTACTATTATTATTATTATTATTTAGTTAGTTAGTTAGAAGAGGTTTTTGTTATACGGTGTGTGCACTCGCCAGAAAGACAGGGAGACAAAGAGGACAGAAAGTGAGAAATCACCCCCCAGGGGGGATGGCCACACCGCAATCCCTTCCCCTCCATTCTCCTCTCGGAACCTTGGGCATGCATGCACACGCGTCCGGTGTGAGTTTAAGTCACCAGGTCTGGGACTCAAACCGTGGTCGACTACATGGGAGTCCAGCAACATAGCCATTACGCCAACTGCTGGTCCTGATCCACCTCTCTAATGAGGAAGGAAGCAGTTCATCACCATATCTTCCAAGTGCTCAGCCAAGATTGCATCTCCTGCTGGTCAGCAACACCCTGGAGACACCTGCTCACTTGCTCTGCTGAGAGTCTCTCTGCTTCTGAGGCCTTCCCTGGGGAGTGAGCCAGGCTGGTCCCTGGGGCGCAGAAAAGCAGGCAGAGGGGCAGGGAGGGCCCCGAGGAATCACTGCCCTGCTCTGCAGTAGAGCCCTGGGCAGGACAGCCATGACCAACTAGCAGTCAAGGTCAAAGGGCCCAGAACAAGGGCTGCTGTGTGCATGACATGCAGCACGCCTGCCCGACTCCCTCGGCGGGACTGGGGATGGGAGGCTGAGTCATTAGTGACTTTCTTTGATTAAAAATTACAAGTAAAAGGAAGATAGGCTAATGATACAAAGAGTAAGAAATACAGATGAGCAAATAAAAATAGTTACTGAAGCCATCTGCACGACATCACCAGAAGTAACCGGGCTGTTAGATTTTGAGAGTCTTGGGTGCAAACTCATTTTTTCACTCTGCTGTGTATGTACGGAAGCGCTTTGGCCCATGCAGCATGATGGGAGGCTGCATGGCGGGAATCTATACTTTCCTGACAGCTCTGGGCCCTTCCTCAGCCCCCAGGTCCCTCTAAGATCCAGGAGTTCAAAGGGTCATCCGTGCAGGCTGCAGACATGATCTAGAGTAGGTTAGGGAGTGCAAAAGATCTCGGAGAGAGGGTGACCAGCTGTCCCAGTTTGCTCAGGGCCGATGAGTTTCCTGGGATTTGGGACTTTCAGTGCTAAAGCTGAGAAAGTCCCCAGCAAACCAGGGCTAGTTGGTTACCCTACTTGAGGGCTAAAAGCTACATTCAGGCCTCCTGCCCGCTACTCACAGGCCTTCCTTTTGGGGCCTGGATCCCCCAGACTCTTCCCAAGCAGCCCAAGAACAGAGGACTGGCTGGGGCTTTCCTTCGCTGGGAACCTCCTAAGGTTCCAGCCTGAGGCCCAGGGAAGGGTGGAAGAAATGGGATGAATGAAGGCATTGCCTGAGAAAGGGGCCAGGCGAGCCCTGGCTGTAAGGACAGTCAGGGGTGCACAGGTGGAGGGGCTCTGGCACTTCACTGGCTTCCCCCCAGCACTGGAGGCACCTTCAGACTGGAGGGCGTATCCTCAGAGGCTAGGCTTGGGCCCCAGCATCTCTGAAAAGTGCAGAGTGTCTGGGTGGGAAGAACTTGACTCCCTGGACTCCCATAGCCCTCCTATCCAGGCCTGCCTTCCCCCTCCCTGGGTCCTCACTTGCTAGCACCTTCCTGCCCAGCACCCCTCTACAGGACTGGGAGCAGAGGCCGGGAGAAGGGGCACCCAGGGGAGGTGGGACTGAACGGGGACCTGGCAGGGGCGCGGGGACACTGGGCAGAAAGCATGTTTCTGACCCTGGTGGGCACATCTGGACTGGGGTCTGGACCACCCTGCTATCTATATTTGAGGATAGGACCCAGGGAACCTGCAGGAGAAGCTGGATATGGCAGGCAGAGTGCTAGTAGGCAGCGGAGTAAAGATGCCCACGTCCTGAAGTGTGGCTCTTGTGAGTATATTCCATGGCAAATGAATTAAGGGTGCTGACGAACGAAGGCTGCTAATCAGCTCACTTGAAAAATAGACAAATTATCTCGATTATTCGGGTGGGCAAAGTGATAAACCAGGGTCTTCCAATGGGGGAGAGGGAGGCTCAAGAGTCTGAAACAGAGAGATGGCACTTTGTGAAAAACTTGACCAGCCATTGGCGGCTTTAAAGATGGAGGAAGGAGTCACACACCAAGGGATGCTGGAGGCCTCTCAAAGCTGGAATAGGCAGGAACTTGGGGATCCCCGAGCTGCTAGAAAGGAATG